CACTTTATTCCATTGTGTGAATAACATCTGGAAATGTTTATTCCAGGTTGGTGGAAGTCAGACACTGAAGGAGTCGGGGAAACCTGTCAGGGTGGCAGAAAGTGATGTGGATGTGAGTACACAGTCGGGCTGAGGATCAGTTTTGTGACTATTTCCTCAGATGCTCCATTGCTTGGATAAAAAAAAACTAGTGGTGGTCAAAGTCATATAACAAACTTACTTCAACAAGTAACAAAACAAAAGTTATTTTAAAATCAATATGTGGACCAGCAAATATATTTTAACCAGCCAACGTTTTTCCACAGGCGTTTGGCTGAAGCTGTGTTTCATCAATCCTTATGTCCTTTTCTAAAGTACTTTAATTTACTACTTCCTTATTCTTCTTTTTTTTCTTTGAGTGCTAAGCACTTAGAATAATTTTACACAAGATAATTGCTTTATAACCAGAAGCTGTACATTTTTTAACTTTAAGTTTGTTTAGGTAAAAATCATTTGCTGCCATGAACCAGTTGGGAAAAACATGAGAAAAATTAAAAAATATATTCTCATTGTTGTTTGTGGGTTGGTTTTACTCCGGGTTTTAATCCCACATCTCCACATCATCTTATAGCTGGTGTTTCCGACTGCAGCACGTTTTCAGTTTAGTTTAACAAATATGCTATTTTTCTCCACTACCAGCATACGTCTTACGTCACAATTTACAACAGTGTCTTCTGTGATCAATATTTGATGAGATCCAACAACAACAGCGGGGGCATGAAGATAACAACAGGATTAATATTTAATTTGATAGAATATAAAAATTACCATTGCAAATAAAGATGTCTACGGTTAAGCACAGTGTTGTCATGAATAAACTCTGCCTCCTCAGACAGACGCTGTGTTGTTTTACTGCCGTGGGATTGTGATCCAACCTTTGCCTTGAAGTTTGTCAAGGTCAAAGGGGGATTAATGAACAGAGCTGGGCGCCTCCCTGACACTGTAATTAAACGTGTCAGGTGGGTCACACCCACTTGGCTAATGGGTTTACTCACAGTAATTAACGCTGAGGAGTGCAGGCATGTGGTGTAGTATAAATGTTAAATATTACGATCCTGTACTGAATGTACTGTACCTACAGCTGCACAAACCAGGTAACCAAAGTAAGCAGAGCTGCTTTCACTGTGCCCTCTCTTCTTCTATAAACAGTACCTGCTACGCTCTGTGTCTCCCTCTACAGGTGAAATTGAGTCGGTTATGTGAGCAGGACAAGATCCTGAAGGACCTGGAGGTGAGGATCAGCACCCTGAAGGATGATAAGGTGAATCCTCAGTTACTTCCTCCTTTTCTTGCTCGTTCTACCCATATAACGAGCCACACTGAGAAGTCCACAGTGTAAAAGAAAGTGACATAATTTTGTGTTGGATTAAATACAGTTGGCCAAGGAAAATGACATCATTGTGTTGGATTAAATACAGTTGGCCAATTTGCGGCTCATAATGAAGTACCAGTGCTCTGTGATGATATAGTGTTCGTCACGTTCTTTCTCTGTAAATCTTCAACTAAACGAGTCTCAAGTCATTCTGGTTCGTTGTATCACAAGTCCACACTGCCCTCTGGAGGATGTATGTGACACATGTTTGCTGCTCTGTTCCTTTTACAGCTCATTGTCCAGTAAGTAAGCTGCCTCTTCTCTCCTCTAGGATAAGTTGGAAAGCGTGTTGGACATGTCCCACCAGCAGATGGAACAGTTCCAGGAGCAACCAGCCCACGCCCAGAAAATTGCCTACCAGCAGAGGCTGCTGCAGGAAGACCTGGTGACTATTAGAGCCCAGATATCCTGCCTGTCCACGGTGAGTGTGTGTTTGGTCAGGATGTTTTACTGTAGCATTTCATTACGTCAGTGTCTTTGGAGGAACCTGAGAGACGGTGTGCAGTGACAGCCAGGTTCGTAGGTGAACTTTGTGTGTGTTCATTTCTGTTCGGGGTTCAGGAGATGGCCCAGGCCTGGGAGGAATACAACAGGATGGAGAGATCAGTAGAACAGCTGAGGACAGTGTTGCGCACACACATGAACTACAGTGACACTCCTCAGGTGAGCCTCAGTGTTCAGCTGCTCCACAGACTCAGACAAGTTGCTTCAACACGTTATGTTTTAGATACATCTATGTTTTTAATTATTATAACATATGTCTAAGATTCTGAGATTTATATCAGAATGAAAATAGATATACTGTCAGATTTTTTAAATCTAGATCAGGGTTCTTAAATTCTTTATTTGTTTTAATTGTTATCTTTTCGAGGTTTTAAATATAGAATTCAAGTAAAATATACATATATCCAAAAAATCCTTCAAGTACTTTAGTGCAATGTCATCCACTACAATTTTCCGAGTTTATATTGGAATTGTAAAACGTGAGACGAGCACCACCTGGTGGAGCTTAAGACTAAATTACCCAATGTATGTTCTGTATAAATACCAGTACTGTGTATAATGGTCGTTTACGTCATAAAGGTAAAGTTTGTGTCCTGTCTGAATTCCAGCAAGAGAAAGCTGAGATGAAGCGTGAGCTGTGGAGGATTGAAGACGTGATGGCGGTACTGAGCTCCAGCAAAGTCAACTACCAGATCACTATTGACTCTGTCCAGAACCCAGGTGAAAAAACAACAGCTGCTCAGCTTGTTAGCATTAGCATGATGATATAAAACAACATTAAATGGATCAAAGATTTAAATATATAGTTTATATCCTGATTTTCTTTAGTCCAGAATCACCTTCTCCATATAAGGCTAACACTCACTGTCTGCTTCGACTGTCTTTGACAGAGAGGAAATTAGTGCCTTCGGTGTCGGACCCCGCGGTGCTTCCTCGCAGCACGGAGGTCCGGCCTCCTCCACGTAGCTCCATCCCCAGCATCCGCTCTCAAACCCTGCCTCACAACATGGTGCCAAAGTGGGTGAGTGTCCTGCCCAGACAACAACTCCTGAGAGGGTCTAATTTATCACTTTTAATCATTAATACCATTTGAAAACATTAACGCTGACAATAAGTTAAAGACCTAGACATAAACAGAAAGCACTAGAACAACTAAATAAATATAAAGGAATAAAACTACAATTTGCACTTGTAAGTGCAACAGTAACTCATACTGTGCTTAGAAAACGTACTTTTGAAAGAGATGGGAAAACAGGAAGTGGCAGCACCTGACCAATGTCCAAAGGTGGCTCAGTCCAGAGACTAGGGGGTGCTGCTGCACAGGTCAGATCTCCTTGAGGCTCATGTCTGGGCTTGAGGAGCAGCTATGATATGGGCTGATCACAGCATATGACTAAGGAAATGTGAAGCAGGTCATTTAGGCGTAAACTGGGGAAATATCATGGAGACAGATGTAAATCAGCCTCTCTGGTTCTGTTGTTCCAGGCAGAGGATAGCGCCCCTCCTAGGCCTCCTCTACCTCGCCTCTATGACTACGAAGAGACACCTCCTGAGGTTCCTCCTCTGCCGAAGGAGGCCTCGGTCATCCGTCACACATCGGTGCGAGGACTGAAACGCCAGTCGGATGAGAGGAAGAGGGACAGAGAGAGTGGTCAGTATGTGACCAACGGAGACGGTAAGGTACGCTTGTCTTTGATGTGAACTTTCCTAGTCCACAGAGGTACTATATTTAATACACTGCTGCTCCAAACCCCAGTCAGTGACCTTTCTGTTTTTAGGCCGACCTGCGGTCGTACCTGAGTGAACCTGAGCTGCCAGGAATCAGTCACTACAACGCTAGCTCTGAGGTCGACTACCAGTATTTCCCCAGCAAAGGTGTGTGAAGTGGGGAACATGACATAAAGTCTCTATAGAACTTTTAATCAACAGACTATTGTTCAGACTTAAGGACTTGATTTCTTTACTTGTTGTTGTCGTGGACCAGGTCTGTCAGGCTCCTCCTCTCAGCTGAACCACTCCAACCCCATCGGGTCCTTCGTCACCCTGAGGAGAGGACCAGGGAGCTCTGCAGCCAGGGTGAGTCTCACAGGGAGCGTAGGGAAGCTGTCAAAAGACAGAGTCAGTGACTCAAAGTCTCTTTTCAACTTTCAACTTTAAAGGTGTGTTTAGGTTTTAAGGCTGTTTCAAGTACAAACTCTGGAACATTAAAGACAGAGTTAGGTTCTCCTGTGGTCTAAAGAATCTAAAGAAAGGAAATTATTTCTAATTAGATTATAAGACTTTATCAGGCGTTGCTACACTGTTATTTCTACTGGAGTATTACTACAGCTGACGTATATTTCTGAAACCACACACACAAAAATTAATTTTCTTTTATATCCAGTATCTCCATAACTGAGTTTAAAAAAATCTGATTCCCCTACATACTACTAGATGGCGCACAGGTACCATGTCATGAACATTGTCGTTCATTAGAAACAATTACGTACGAAGTAAAGGCTGTGTTTGATTGGTAGCTGATAATATTTCTGGGTTTTTTTGTTTCTACTATTTTTTCATTTGTTTTCCACGTTCATCCTCCATCTCTGTATTCTCTCTCTGCCTATTATCTGCTCCAATAACCATCACCTGACCCTCTAACGCCCCCATCCTTCCATTATTCCAACCCTTCCTCTGATTCCTCCCATCTTCCCATCACCTCAGCAGGAGAGACCTAAGAGTGCCTTTGAGTGTCTGTCGTCACCTCCAGGGGGCGCACAGGTCTCAGGTAGCCAGCCCCGAGGCCGAATGACTGCAGAAGAGCAGCTGGAGCGCATGAAGCGCCACCAGAAGGCGCTGGTTCGTGAGCGTAGGAGGAACCTCAGCCAGGGGGAGCGCACCTGCACGGGCCTCTCCTCGTCCACCGTCACCACCCAACACTCCTCCTCCTCCTCCTCCTCCTTCAGGATGCCTTCAAACTCTTCAGACCCGCCGACCTGCGTACGTGTCCCTCCGCCCCCACGTAGCAGCAGCAGACACAGGGAGACCCGCCTCCACCCACCCTGCTGCTAAGACACACTGCAACTGTTGGCTGCATAATAACCCTGCAGGAAAAAACTAACACACCTGTCAGTAACGAGCGGTTTGAGCTGTACACACTAACTGCGAGCGCTAACATTCTGAAGGGCAGGATGTGGCTGCAGCTGACTAACACGGCTGGTTAATGCTTTAAGAGCCCGGGGAGGCGAACCCAGCACAGGGAGGGCTGATGCATGAGTAGAATTGGACCGAGACAGAGTAGTTCTATAATTTTATAAAGGTTCTTGTTCCCACTGCTGACTGGTGGAACCTCACTGACACAATTTTGAATGTAAGTCCATGTAGAAAATGGGGATTTATTTCAAGGCATCGTTCTGCCTTTAAATCCCTGTTTATTCGCCAGACCGTAGAAAGAAGAGCCCATCTAGAGTATGTACATCCACATGCCATGTACTTGTACACTTTTATTTATTTACTGAGGAATATTTTCAGTATACTCTTGTACAGTTCTATTTTCTAGAGATTTGGTATATAGAGCATATATATTGGAGCAGAGGGAAATGTCGGCAATTGAAGACGTATAAGATTTCAGGTTGAGGAAGGGAAGAAAGAAGCGACGCTCGTGGTACAAATCATGAATACACCTCCTTTCTTTTCTTTAGAGAGATTCAAGTGCCTTGTTTTGCCTTTGTCCTTAAATTTACCTCCTCATCAAGATTCTGATTATTATATCACCTCGAGACTCTTAATAACCGATATATTTTATTTATATATTTTTAGAGTTGAGGATAAAATTATTATCAGTTTTATTGTGTTCCAAGTGCTTTTATCCAGAGCAAGGAACCGAGCTGCCCATCTGGTCCTGAACTTCAGTTTTAAACTTTCTTTTAGTGAATAATTGACCTTTCACCTCCATGTTTAATTAACTTTAATTATGTCTCCCCTATTTTTACGTGTCAAATGGTTTTCGACTTGAAAGAGAAAAAAACAATATATAAATATATATATTAGACTAGATATTATAGATTGAACCTATGCCAATAATTAAAAAAAAAAAAACAATTCTAAGCTGCCCGATTTTAAATGACCCGGGGCACAGTATTGCTCCAGGACCCGGTGGTTGAGAAACCCCTGGTTGAACTACGTTGTCTTTTATTTTGTTGCAATTTTACCTTCAATGACAGCTCAGGGGCTGAACCTTAAACATTATATAATATAATAATAATTTTGCCCTCACCTGTACAGTACACCTACTGATTTCAATGAAGAAAAGCTCGAAATCCAATATAAAGGTTGTGTGTGCTGAGACGTGCCTGTAATCAAATGCAGATCCTATAGAATTTTTCATGATGAAATTCGAATGGCGCAATACAGTCCATTCAGTCTGATGACCTTTCACCTTTTTGAGCAGCATCATTTCAGTGTATCCACTCCACCAGCACAGACATGTTTACACTCCTTTATATTCCAGACAACAGTCTCACTGACAGTGTTTTGTTTTTGTATGGACGACGTGGTCCTTTTTAATCAAGTTACAGTGGGTTAACATTTACATTTGACACATTCAAAGAGGGTCAGAGCAGCTTTACTGGAGACGGGGCTGAAAAGCAATAATAGGAACGTGAACACGGAGAAGACAGTTTTGTCATGGAAAAAATAAAGTAGAAAAAAACTAGTTCAAGTTCATGGTCAGAGGCCTTTCATACAGTTACAGATGCTGCAGTAGTCTTTTGCAGAAGTTTGAAAGTCATATATATTTGTGTAAAATTCAGAAGTGAAAAGAAAGTCATGTTTAATTATCAAGTCATCAGCATACAGCTTTTTAAAATATGACAATACAAACAAAAATAGTGATCCCATTTTCATGTGAATGAATTAATTGATTATAATTCATTATTCCAATATAATTTTTATTTAAAAAAATAATACAACACAAATACTACTCATAAAGCATCATACTAATGACTTTACTGAATTTTAAATTAACCAGGTGTGCGAAACAGGAAGTACTGTATAGGTTGTCACCCTGTGAATTAAAAAAGAAATTTAAGTCAGGAGCATCTTCAAATTTTAAGAAAGTTAAAAATTCAATAATCTAATAATATCATAAAATGTTTTGGATAAAACCTCCCTTTAAGCCCATAAATAATTGAACTGCTTTAATAATAACTACTTCCCACTATTCCTCTGTTCTCTCCACGGCACTGCTGTCTTCTCATAGTTTTTTTTTCCCGACAAGTATTAATTGGAGAGTTCTTCTGTCGTATTGCTTTTATCCTTTCACTGCTGCGTACTGAAAATCTAATCAATGTAAAGACAGAAGAATGTCTGACTGAGGAGACGATTATCCTAGAGATTAGTCAAAAAAACAACAAACAACAACAACAGCTAATAACAATCTAACTCTGTGTAAAACATGGAAAGCAACGGAAAAAAACGCTTTCCATTTTCTTTGCAATCATGTAGACATTTGCACTTGACAATAAAGACTATCTTGCTTCTGAACCTCCTCTGGGCTGTTTTCTTTCTAATCAGGTGGGGTTTGACAAATCTGTGTCTGCATGATTGTTTTCCCCTCTTTGTCCTCTCTGTTTTGTTTTTTTTTTGTTGTTAAATTAATTTTTCTAAACGCACCGAGGCATGTGACGCTGTTTTGACGCAGAGCATGTGTGAACACAACAACCAATCAGATCCCTGCTGCTGGCTACTGGAGTGAGAAGGATGTGTGCATGGCTCATGGCTTGGATGATCCTAGGATGGATACTCACTTGAAGTACCCTTCAACCACACACACATACAGACAGACACAACTAAGGCAGTTTTATTAAACAAGTGATTATGTCACACGTGAAGTATTTGGTGTAAAATGTAAGTAGTAATAGTAGTAATGTGGCTTTGTTTCTTCTGTAAGGATATAAAATAATTATTTGTCAACAAATGTTGGAGTGATCATGCATCAGGCAGATGAGGGTGATGAAGAGTAGAGATGTGAAAAGTCGTGTGTTTCAAAGTGACATAATTAGGCAGATTTCTGATAGGAGAACTCGGGTAAAGTAGTGGAACAGGAAGCTTAAAGTTAAACAGACCACTACAGTATGTGAGCCATTGAATTAACGTGATATAAAGAAATAATTTCTCTTTTTCTAAACAAATATCATCTAGGGAAAAAAACGTGTGTTTTCTGGGTCTTTGAATGACAGGAGGAGCGACCGGCTGCTGAGGGTCAGAGCTACGAAGAGTGGGAAAAGGGTAGACAGAGAGACAGGTTTCTGTCTGATGAGTGGGTGACAGTGCCGTTAAAGTTCATACGAGAAGTGGACATTGAGCCGTTCGACTACGATCTGGACATCAGCCTGGAGGTAAATCCGCACCTTTGTCTGTTCTGGATTTGTGACAGTGTTGTTAGAATAGTCTCAATCCCTGTTTTCGCTTCAGTAATAAACATGTTTATTAAACATGTAAACATAAAATGGTTGCAATGTCATTCGAAACCGCTAGATGTCAGTAACCTTCCTTTCAACCACAGCTGGGCATGCCGCAGAAAGTGCCTATACCAGAGCGGTACGTAGAGTCCGAGCCTGAGGAGCCTGCAAGTCCCGAGGAAATGGAAGAACGTTCTCGAAGAGCTGAGCGCATCAAGAACTTACTGGCTAAATCGAGGTAAACCGTTGTTCCTTAGACTTTTTAAAATAATAATAATAAAAAAATCAGATTCTTTATTTAATAGACTACTAGACGCATTAAAAATAATAATAAAAAAAATCATTAGATTCTTTATTTAATAGACTACTAGACTACTAATCATAAGAAAACAATTATGAAAAGATGTAACATTTTAGGAATTACATTGTTCTACCGGATGTGAAGCACCTGCTCATTTCCTGTGTGAAATTATTTAAGGATTCACTCATCTGTATGAAAGGAACATATTCCACTTATAAACCAACCTTCCGGCTCTGTGACTTTTCAACAGTGTTCAGAACCTCCAACAGTCGGCTCCACTGGACTTCAGTGAACTGGACTCGGCTCTGAAACAACAGGAGAGAATCATGAATGTTTCTCACGCTCTGGCTTCTGAGGCGTCACGCAAGAGCAAACTAGTGGCAGGTTAGTGTTTAACTTATAAAAAAAACAAAAATCAGTTTTGTCAAAGAGGACGTCAGACTTTCAGTTGTTAGCAGAGGACATTGTTAGCTAATTAGAGAACGTACTTTAGAGGCTTCACCTGAAAATTAAACAATTATGTGTGACTGCCATTTATGTACACCTGGACGAATGCAGACGAAACTCTTCTTAGGAGATATCTAAAGAATGCAAGCTTTCATCCAGACCATACAATGTGGACCTGTTAGTCTGAAGTGGTCCATATGTAAAATGGCAAATGTGGCACAAATATTCTCAATATATATGGACCTTTTCTGAAGTGTCAGTAAAATTCACAGTATCCAATTGCTGAAAAAAAAAAGTCCAAAAACAGTCCTGAACAAAGCAGGTTCCATTACAACCCACATCAGGCAATAAGGATGTGGGCATTAACCACCTGTGAGCCATTACTCAACCCTAAATATGGGCCACGTGAGAAAATTATAGTTGTTAGATTTGGGATTTCCTTTCTGGAAATCAGTTTATCTTTGAAATGGCCGACTGCAAACCTGCTGAAATTAAATTCTAAATCCACTTGTAAAATGTACAATTATGAAATTTTCTTACTGCAAAGAAATATTTCACCAGTCTTTTTCTTCTTCTCAGCCAATGCTGTTGCGCAGCACTGACCCACAGGAACATTCTGCCAAACTCAGAGACAGAAGAAAGAATCTCAGCAGAGCCACGAACTAACTGATTCACTTCTAAAACATTTTCTAATGACTGGAAACTGACAGATTTTTTTTTAATCCAATTACTTCTGCACTTACACTGCCAGAAAATGAGTTTGTTTTTAATCAACAGTTAGCTGTTTGACAGTTTGGTTTGTTTTTACGAGTGGATTTTTCAAATAAAGTGTGTGATCACTGTTAACATACTCAGTTCACAGTTTTAATTGTTTTCACATTATTTATTTATAATTTGGATTTTTTTTAATACTGTATTATATTTTTTTCAGTGATCACATCACGATCATAGTTTTGTCAATCAACTCTATATCAACAATAGTTTAACACATACCAAAGAGAAAACATCACTACTTATAATAAAATCAAATAAAGTCAAGTTCTTCTTCGTGTGTTCACTTTGTTACGGTCTACAGCTTCATGACAGAATGTACTCTTTTTGATCAACTATAATCTGGATTATCGTTTTATATTTACTGTCCTGCATTTGCTAATCTGCATTTGGACTGACAGCATTTCCCTACTCTTAAGGTCTTTCTACTGCAGAAGCTGATGAGATCAGAGGAGAGCTTTAATAACTTTAGTTACTTCAATTAATAGAAATGTTGGCTTCAGTTGGACAGTTGTAAATGCACAAATCTAAATGATTTTGTAAAAAAATAAATGTACTGCAAACTGGAGCTCCATGATTAAGAAAAGGAAAATTCACACCTTTTATTTATCTTCAAACAGAAAAAGTGAAGACATGTTTCGTGATTTGTACAGAAATCCCTTCAAAGTAAACATAATTCTGCTCTGCACAACATGTGACTGACTGTTAAAATGACGGTTACGATGTTCAAACAGAATCAAAACGGGATTTAAAATAATAAAAAAAAAGTAACCAAAACATAATTCCAATTAATCCAAACCTTAAACCCCATGCTGTTCAGTGATGGTGGTTCAGTTTGTACAGGACCATTTTCTTCCTACTAAATACTAAAACATCTAGTGATCACTGAGGGCTAAATTTGAAATGTACAAGTCTGGGATTTGAAAAGCTAATATGTCTCTGTTTGACCGGTCAGCCCTATGTAGACTTGACAAAAGCCATTTTGTAGTCATGTTTCTGTTCTTCACTCCTGCTGTCAGAGCTGCGTCTGCTCTGCTCTGAGCTCTTTTCCTCTGAGCTCTTTTCCTCTGAGCTCTTTTCCTCTGAGACCTTTTCCTTGACATCTGTGGACTCCTGTGTTGATCGCTCTGCTGTGCTTTCTTTTGTCTCACTTTCTGCTGCGAGGGCAGGACATGTCTCTGGAAGTAGCTCAGGCTTTGAATTAGAAAAAAATTTTTTTTTTTGAAGACTTAAGACTATAATTAATGACAAAGTATCATTCTTCCCTTCCAACAAATGATTACAGTCAACATTAATTTAACTCAATGACAGCATTTCCCCCTTGGTATATTTTCATATATACTCTATATATATATACACAGACACACATATACATGTAAATATATATAGACTACCATAGGCTTACTGTGTGAGCTACAGTATATTCACCTCACTAAAGCCAAGGCCACAATGTCTCCGGCTACGTCCTGAGAGAATTCCATCCATGCCCTGGTGATACTGCATCTCCAGCTGATCACTGATCTTCTTGTCTTCTTGCCCTGCAGAGGAGACACCAGTCACAGCAGGCACACCCAGCCATTACAGGCCTATCCATGTCTGGATAGATCTGTGTGGCGGATGTGTAGCGGGAAAGCTAAGTTAATTTCAGTGGTGCAACAATGAGGCAGTATGGGTATGTGACACAGGGCACGAGTTCTCTGATATTTTTTATCCAGGAGCAGACCACAATACAGAATATCATAAACCTGGACACACTAGTTTACAGAAGCAAAACAACTAGTCTTACCACTGCGGACGTGGGATGTAGATTTATGGTCACCAATGATGAGGCGGCCTGTGTGTTCCTTCTGCAGAACAGAATGAATCACATTATAGATCTTTCTTATTGTGAAACATATCCCTTTTACAGGCAATACATTTTTATAAAGTTGTCTATAACAAATTACAAACCTTTCCAGCACCCATCAGCCGCAAGAACTTCTGTTTCCTTGCGTCACTTCCTAGATCAGCTGATTCCCACTGAGTCGACCCATCCTGACAGGACAAAAAACATTAGTTAATTTGTAATCATTGCACCCTGTGTGTGAACAGTGCTAAATTATAGGCAGTGTGAAGATTTTGTTTTATGTAGTATGTAGTAGTACCTTTATGTAAAAAATTTAAAGCACAAATGTGTTACCAAAATAAATCGTACCGTCGTCATAAACGGGAACGGTTCTGGACCATTGTATGTATGTAACCCACTGTGTATGCCTTTTAGGTAGACCAGTTATTTCTATATGTTTTAATAACAATAGCTTCAATACAAATAAATTGATAAATAAGACTGATCGTGAAAACTTCAAATGTGCGTGAAGGTTGTTTACGACACAACGTTCAACGTCTTCTAGTTTGACCGTAAAAGAAAAAACAGGCTAACGTTGTTAGCTTTATTCTGAACCCTCTTTAGTTTTCCTGTACTTCCTGTTTTTTCTAGATTCACTCACTTGACTCGGGGATGCAGGTCGTTTTGTTCCGTGTTTTTCTTCTGGGTAACTCATTATGACGACCTGCTTCAAACAAATGTCACTTAAATATCATGTCACAGAATTGGTACAGGCTAACCTGGTTTAACAACACGGCTGAATTGTGACGTCACCCGACCTTTGTCTTCTTCTACAGCGCTTACAATGCGATGGAAACTCTCTTTTGCCCCCAGTGGATGGCACTTTAAGTCTCATATGGATTTGGACTGAATTTTACCAACTTGTGGGTAATATGCGTGAGGTCCACACAGATAACTAAAGGGTCCCACTTTTCTTAAGCTTCAGTTTAACGACGACACAAAAACATAAGTATGTGTGTTCTTGGCAACATTAGGTGTTGCTACAACTTTGAGTAGAAACTAAGGAAAGTTTGGCAGGGAAACTGATGTTTGCGGATGCTGGGAATTTCATTTCTTGATCAGCAAATTTACAGAAAAAATAGACTTTTTTGGAGCCGGTGACAAATAAGGTAAGTAAAAATCTATATTTATTTGAAACAAAACATTAAAAAAAACCTTCGTTTTGTCCGGAACTGGCAACCCACCTAACTAAACACCTGTTTTTGAAGCTAGGTGCAACAACGTTTGCTAACCTGAAACGGCAGGCAGGTTAAGAATGTCGACGATGAATGGTGCAAGGGAAGACGGGGAGCTAAAACTTATAATATGCAATCATACGAAGAGGAAAAAGAAAAAGAAACAAACATTTGAAAGCCTTTTCAAAAAAGTTTGAGCACAAAACGGCCGTTTGGAGAAGGATTAGCAGACAAAGGTGTGACACGTTGGTTATACCCTCACCTCACGTAAATAATGAATCACTAAATGACCAAACTGTGTTTATTTTAGCCTGTAGATGACGCTGAAGTGTCAGGTCCAAACTAAAGTGGAACGAACCGTCAGTCTGTCCAGATTATACAGGTAGGTTCACTAATGAAGAACAACTTGCACTTCTATGAATATTAATGGAGGCACAAAACATGCATGAATGTAGTCTTACACACACTTTTGGTGTATTCAGTCTATTATAGTCCCTTTCAAGGCAGATTACTAATTCAGTACATGGGGAAGCATGTTTTGTTTGTTGTTTTTTTCTTTTTTCTTTATTTTAATGTCCACAAACTTGTTTCGTGAAAACAGATGGCTTGAGTTCAACACAGAAAGCACAAAAAATCTTATACAAAGTGTCTTTAACGAAAGAAAATGAAATAATTAATTGAGTTAGTAGGTTGTTTCTTCATTTGGCTCATGGCCATGAAGATGGAATACACCGCTCATTGACTGCATTTACTTAAATCTCCAAAAGGTGGCAGTAGAGTCAACGTAATAGAGACGGAGCACAAGACGCGCTCTCTCTGCGTTAACATGACGATCGCACTTTTTCTGTCTCATAGATATAACGGCGACAGTGTGGGTTGAAGAATATTAGTGGCATTTTTATAATTAATCTTCAACTTCTTCTCCCAAAATAAATAAACGCAAGCTACGAAATAACTAACTAAATAATATTTCATTTACATTTGGTTGTTTCTCGTTTTTTAACACCAGCGTCAATCAAAATGTCCTGTGAATTTTGGCATCTGAAATATCCTGGAGTGAACGCCACACAAATCTTATTCAGCTGTCAACTTCATGTACCATAACCTCCTAGAAAGTTTGATTTTTCTTTTTATTTGTGTGTTTTGCGAGAAAGGTTTTTCAGTCCACATTAAAGATAATTTGGGAAAATGCTTCAACACATCTCAGTGTAGTTTTGGGTGAAATGACCAAGAAGAAATCCATACAATTTAAAACAATTCACCATTTAATGTTAAACAACTTGGTGCATATTTAAATGAACCATCTTTTTTTTACAATAAATACTAAGACAATCAAATACAACATGTTCTTCATTATATTCATGTTTTAATTTTAAACATAGGAAACAGAGAATAAAAAATTGTTCAGTGAACCAAATATTTCATGACCTCCCTGCAGCAACTCCCAAGTTCCCCTAGGGGTCGCGGGCCCTCTGTTGAAGTCCTCGGCATTAGACAATTAAAAAGACAGTTTGCTATTGAACGAATGTCGTTAAGTTGCGTTATTATTGAAAAATAATAATAATGAAAAACACATGGAACATCGATGATGTGTCGACGTTTGTATTGCGATATGTATATTTTAAAACATATTTTTGATTGTGACGTTAAACACACACACACGCAAGCCTTATCCTAACCCTTATCTTAACCTCAACCTAATTTCCATCAGGGTTTCAGTCTTGCGACTCAAATTTAGATTTAACTGATGTTTTGATTCAAAGCTGTCCTCCATCCACACACACACACGCACACACAACATGCATGTTTTTTTGATCACTATTACTACCCAAGTTGACCTGTAACAGATGACATGTCCAGCCTAAACCTGACTCTGTCCTTAAACCCTTGTTACTGTTGTTGTTTCACTCCTTTAGTTTTCATATTTATGATGTCACTTTAATCTGACCCTAAATCTAATCCTAACTCCAATCCTGCTCCCTCAGTAGACCTGCAAAATGTCAAAATGTCAACAAGGACTATGTGTCTCCATCCAGGACATGTTCCCACAAGAACACACACACACACACGCACACACACACACACACATGCAGTACATACAAACACGAGTCAACTAAAGTTTTGGAGATGTGACTATTTTCTTTGTAATCTGGAAAATAATTCAAACAGGTGTGTGTGTGTGTGTAAGTGTAAGTGAGTGTGTGTGTTTCAAATTGGGTGAGAGAAAGAGAGGGAGAGCGAGAGAGAGAGAGAGAGAGAGAAAGAGAGAGACAGGGAGGGAGGGGTTATCCAGCCTCTGCCTCTTTACCCGGCGCTGCCCCGCACTCTCACTTAACCTCCACATTATGCTCGACGGGAAGTAACTTAAAATACTTTTTTTTTTTTGGAGGAAAAACTCAGCGTCCACCCGATGACAGCTCCTGCGGCTCAGCGTCTCTTCTGACAAAGACACCGAGGTGCATGACTGTAGTTTGTCTTCTTCTGCGGAGCGCTAACGGAGGAGTTACCAAAGTCCCTGACCCGCTCCAGCGATGCTGACTTTACGCACGGGATTTGAAGGCTGCGTATGAAGTGACTGAGCCCCGACTCCGGAGACCATCGTCAGCGTCGATCCATCCGCATCCGACTGAACCAGGAGGACGCGTTGAAGGAAGTGTCCGGACACGTGGATCCAGGTGAGAGCAGCTGGCTCTGTGGTTCAGTGTGTGGAGTGGACAGCCGGTCCCTCTGCTCTCATTGTCTGTGTGAACTCCGTGCGTTTATCTGAGCTCCACAACAAACACAGATGACAGCAGCAGATTCAGTCAGCAGTGCAGTGTAGCTGTGATTACAGTCACACAACTTTTCCTTCACTCTGACACGTTTTCTTTTCGGAAAAAATAATAGCAAATAATATGAAATCAATATAGCCGAGACATTATTATTATTATTATTATTATTGAAAATCGGTTTTGTTGCAATTAAAACACTAGTCCAAAATTGGTTGGTTTTTAAAAGTTTTTTTTTCTAGTTGTGATTATCTTAATTTAAATTTGGCAGTTCAGACACAATATATTAAAATTAGCTTCTTGTCGTAAGGGGCTCAAACTACAGCTTTGTTTACACAGGACTTAAAATGCAAATTTTTTTATTTGCTCTTCTCTATAGGAGGAGATCTGACAGGGGGTGAAAAATATTTCTCAAATGTCTAATCCTCCAAACGAGGTGCTTTAAAAAGATAATACAAAGGCTGAAGGATTTTTCCAAAACGAATTTAATTTTATTTTCTTCACTCACTTTAAAAACATGCCCGAAAAATCATCACCATGCAGAATATCAGCCTGACTTGACGCTGCTGTTCCATATTATGCACCGTGGAAAGAGAGGAAAAAGTTGACTTATTGTGGAGGGGTGTGTGTGTGTGTGTGTGTGTGTGGGGGGGGGGGTCACCTCCATCTCGTCTTTGTCACGGTTTATTAACAGAAGACGTTCAATGGTTCAGAAATTAAGGCCACAACAAGTTCACACGGAGTCTCTGAGCCACAGGTTATTTTTTCAGTCAATTAGAAAAACAGGTAAAAATATTTTAAAAAAGGGAATTATTTAAACACTTTCTCTTATTATTCATTTTTTAAATTCATTTCTTACACTACATTTAAAAGCAGGACATTTGTCAAAAAATCAAATAAAAAAATGTAACAGAAGCAGGAACCGTCACTCCTGCAGTATTTGGGGTGATTTTGTGTCACTCTGTATTTTTTCCTCTGTGGCCACACAGTCCAGAACCCCAACCACCCTGCTCTCCCCGGGACCTCTGTTGACCTCATGCGCGTCCCCGGCGGCAGCAGCTCCAGAGACGCAAAAAACTCTGAGGCGTCTCTTCACGTGTACGCGCTGGAATACAATCGAGAAAAATAGACTACAGTGATAGAGAAGACGACGAAGAGGAGGAGGCGTCTTATTTACCCCCCCCCCCCCAGTTAACCCTCCAGTCGGAGTTCACGGCGAATGACCCCAGAAGAATGCGTGAGTCATGCGTTAAAATAGACCCGCAGTCCTAAAGCGCAGGAGACAATACCGGGGGACAAACAGTCAAACAGTCTCCCCGGACAGAGGTGAATGAACTAGTCTGTGTAAGTTTGTTTTATTTCTTTTCTTAATTCTCTCCTCTCAGCATCACGATGACGCGTCTACAAAAGTTTATGCAACTTTTTCCTGGGGCGATAAAAAGGTGCAGCTTCACCTGTCACTCACTGCCCGTTTGTCAACCTGCGCTGCGTGCGTGCGTGCGTGCGTGTATGCGCGTGATCCCTCATCTTCACAGGCGTGTGTGTGTGTGTGTGTGTGATCCTGCTGCATGCACCCCCAGTCTGATCCGGACAATCGCCCAGGCCCCGGTCACAGTGACGATGTGACAGAGGGTACAGGAGGACAAGGCGGATGACCAGGGCCTGGGTCAGGCTGATAGCGTCACTACAGGGTGTTTCCCTGTATTTCAAGCCGCTCTAGTCCTCCGAGATAAGCCAGTGGTGGGCTGTAGATAAGGAGCTCTCAGAGACAGACAGACACTCGGTGGGTAAAACGAGAGCACGAAAGCAACAGGAGAGGAAACCGCGCGTTATTGTTTGATTTTTAGTCGATCAGCGGCAAATGATCGAGAAGAGCCAATGCTGTCCATTTGAAGAGGTCGGAGTCAGTGCGCTCATCCTCAGGACAACCCCCCCTCCACCCCCCCCCCCCCGTACCTGATGGTGCAGTAAATCACAACAACCAACAAGTTACTTGATTGTTCGGACACTGGCACAACAGTTTATAGACCCCCCCCACCTCCACCCCCCCCCCCCCCTCCTCCCCCTCTCTCTCACATGTGTCTGTCTGAAAAACAATCCGAGTGAGGGTGTGGGGGGTCGCTGGCTGAAGTTGATCTCCAATGGCATTTTGTTTTGAGCAGGTGCTGCGGGTTGAAGTTCCCTCATAAGGTAAAGTGGCATTAGAGTGTCCAAATGGCAGACTTATATATAGGCTGCCAATTCAGCACATTGTCCCGGGCTTCATGGCTGTGCGCTCCCTGCGCCCTGAGCCAGACCTGCGATACCCCCCCCCCCCCCCCCCCCCTTTCTTGCCCGGGGGGGCCCTCACTTATAGAGCGGGTCCCCCGGCACTGT